TAATCTGCATAGATCAGTTGAAACCATGGGAGCTGATGAGACAGAAATTAGAGAAGATAGAAGGCCCAAAACAGTCTTGAGTGACAGGTATAATTAGTGTATGTTACTTTGATCAAATTGGGCAGTGGATACTAAGGTAAGGTCTGATAGGTAAAAAAAACCAAGATAGAGCAGTCACAGAAACCAATAATGGATGGAGGAGGAGGAGGTAGTCAACAGTGTCAAATGCTGCTTGAAGGGTGAGGATTGAGTAAAGGCCATTTGATGTGGCTATTAAAAGGTCAGTTGAATAAGGAAGTAGAGATAGCAAACATAGCTAGATGGTTTTTTTCTCCCATAAACGTTTAGCTGAGGAAGGGAGGAAGGATGAAGGGTGATAGAAGAAATAGGATTCATTGAAGGTTTTTCATCCTTTAAGGATGAGCAACACTTGTATGTGTGTGTGTGGTAACTGAGGAACATGTCATTTAGGAGAGATTGAAGATTAGTGGGAATGATAATGGGGGAATCATCTGGAGAAGATAGGAGGTGATAGGATTCAGGGTACTTGTAGGGTTGTTATTTGACAAGGAAAAGAGCCACTTTCTCATTTTAAGCACCTATTTTGCAGTGTATCCAATTGTCAATATGCTAAATTGCAGAGAATAGGAAGAAAATGAAACAACCTGCTGCCAAGGTGTGTGCATTTTATTGGGGGGTAGGGGTGGGAGTGGAAGAGAGACAACATGTATCCATATAAGTATATACAAAATAAATACAAAGTTATTTTGAACGGGAGACCTTAGTAGCCAAGGCAATAAGGAGAGACTTTTTGGAGGGGACATTTGAACTGAGCTAGTAATTTTAAGGAGTGGATTTCAGAAATGGGACAGCTTGTGCAAAGGATACCAAGGAGGAACATCAAGTAGGCTCATTGGCTGAAATATGTACAGTGTGCAAAGGGGATAATATAATTTGGCCAGAAAGGGAGGTTGGAGCAAGATCGTGAAGGGCGTTAAATGCCAAAGATAGAATCTAGAGTTTGTGGCAGGGGAGTGAAACGTGTTCTTTAGCGTCAGATACAGTAGGCATTTAAAGTCCTTTACGATCTGCTCCATCTTACCTTTCCAGCTTCATTGTACTTTACTACCAATGGGCTACCTATCCTGGCCTTCTTGCTGTTCCACACATAGGACACTCAGCCTCTACTGATAACTTCATCCCCATTCTCTGCTGCCTTTGCAGACTTTTCCCCATTGAAATGCACTCCTTCCTCACCTCCACTACCTGAATCGCTCCACATCAAGTGCCATTTTTTTCTTGAGAACTTTTCTTACCTCTTTTTTCTCCTAAATTCTAATTGCTTACTCTCTTCCTTTAGTTACCTTTTATTGATTTTTTTTTCCCCCAGACAATTTGGGTTAAGTGACTTGCCCAGGGTCACACAGCTAGTAAGTGTCAAATGTTTGGTCTGAGGCCTCGGATTTGAACTCAGGTCCTCCTGACTTCAGGGCCGGTGCTCTATCCACTGTGCCACCTAGCTGTCCCTATTGACTTTTTTGTATACTAACATATGTACGTGTCTTCCCCCACAGAATGTGAGGTCCTTAAGTAGCAGGAACTGTTTCATTTTTGTTTTTGCATTCCTAGCACCTAGCACATCGCGTGGCACAGAATGTTTAATAGATATTTGTTGATTAATTGAAAAAGAGACTTACTAAAAGTTTATTATGCCACATTTTACAAACAAATTTAAGGGGTTTTTTGGTTTGTTTTTAGGATATACCTGGAAGTTAGTATCGTATACCATTATCATTATAGTTATCAGCTTAATTATAGGCACTGGTTTTTAATGTTGTATATTGTTTTAAAATACTGTAGTTTTAGCTTGGTTAATGAGTCCTAGAAAATCAATCAATAAAATTTTATTAAGTACCTACCATGTTCCAGGTACTGTGCTAAGGACTGGGGGTACAAAAAAGAGTCAGAAGACAGTCCCCTCCCTCAAGGAACTTATGTTCTAATGGGGCATACCAATGTTATGTACAAACAAACTGAGTAAAGTATAAATAGGAATGAATCCGTAGAAGGAAGACACTGGAATTGAGGTTATCTGGGAAGGCCGTGTTAGAAGAGAGATTTGGGGAAGGCTTCTAGTGAGATTTGGAATTTTAGTTGGGACTTAAAGGAAGCCAAAGAAGTCAGTAGGTGAAGTTGAGGAGGGAGACTGTTCCAAGAATTGGGGCTAGCCAGAGAAAGCAATTAAGAATGGATATAAACTAAAGAATTTGGTTTGGTGGAATATCATGTAAGAGTTTACTGTAAGACTTATACTGTAAGTCAACTATGAATTGATTTTCTTCTTTCTTAAGAAATTAAATTAAAAACTCTAAGGCAGGAAAAGAGTACATAAAAGTAGTTGTTTGACTGACATTCTAGAATGGCTACTGCATCATATCACAGTTCATTAAAGTACTTTTTTTTTTCCCAGAGGAGTGTAAAAAAATACTTCCCACAAGTGTTTTTTTCCACTAACATATTCTCCCCATTTGTGTAATATGGTGACCAGAATCAGCATTTTTGAAAAGTTTCTAGTACAAATAGTTACACTGAGGACAAATAAGGACATGGATTAGTTGGTAAAGAAACAAACTGGCATAACCATTTCTTATTATTTTTCTTTTTCACCTTAACTAAGAGTGTAGTGGGGGGATTTCTTCTGGGGTATGGCAACTGCTATCACTTAATCTTGTTGTTATAGATGCATAGTTTTTGCTAATGGGGGAATAGAAAATTTTGGGGGTTTTGCTTATTTTGATTTAGACATGATTTAAATTTTTAAAAGGAAAGGATAAATAAACTGAGCAGCAAAAGAGATTTAGTGGAAAGATGTGTAGAACCAGGAAAGACCTGGATTTAAATCCTGACTCCTTGTACTATAAATTGTGACATTGGGCAAGTCAACCTCTCTGAGCCTCTTTCATTCTGTGATTTGCCCATAGTTACATAAATTTGGGATGATGCTTCCAATATCTGCTTTTCCAAAGTAATTGTGAAGAAGTTTTTAAACATAAAATCCATGAGTTCTATACAAAGGTTGAAGTTGTTCTGATTTAAAATGAAGTCACATATTGGGGTTTACTGGTATAGTTTAGAACACAGTTAGCTGCAGTTCCTTTTTCTCACTTTAATGTTGTATAGGGATGTAGGGCATGTTGTAGATCAAGCTTATCAAGTTCCATCCAGTTCAGCCCAGATATCATTTCCTCTGGTCCTTAAACTGGTCTGTAGCTATCATGGCTCTTTTAAATCTTATCTTGGCCCCTAGGTTGAGGAAGAACATTTCATTTTTCCATTCTGTGCCATTCTGCTCCAGTTTCCTTCCTTGGCTTTAGGCCTGTGTACACCTTATTCATTTTTCTTCCCTGGGTCTCTGGGACTCCAGGGCACTTGAAGTCCTCTTATTTAATTTTTTTTTTTTTTGGCTGCTTCTCCTCCTTCCCCCATCCCTCCCCAAGTTCTCTCTGACCTTTCTGGTTTTCCTGAAGCATATAGGATCACAGTTCTAGAGCAGGGAGGGACCTTAAAGACCACCTAGTCTAAACATTTCATTTAAGAGATGAGACTGAAACCCTGAGAAGATTAAATGGCTTTTGCCCAGAGTCACACAAGAGGCACACAAGTGAAATGTGCTAGTCTACTGTTAAAGTTGGTTTTATCTTACCCATTCCTTATCACAAAAGTCCTTATCACAAAAGTTTTATCACATTAAATTTACTTGATTATATATAATAAAAATAAGAAACCAATTTTTTTTAATCAAGGGAATATAAAGGATATCCAGCAAGTACTTGGATGTGATTATGGTATAAATGTAAAAAGCTGTAAAAGCGAACTTTTCTTGCTTGGCAGTTGAAACACATGCTTTAAAAGGGAGGAGGACAATCACCTGGCTGTGGCTTAATACCTCTGGAACCTTATGTAAGTCATTTTATTAGTTAGGCTTCAGGTTTATTGTTTTTAAAATTATATAATTGGAGTAGGTGATCTTCCAAGGTCCCTTCCAGCCCTAAATCCTAGGAACCATTTGCCATAGCTTCATTTGAGTTATATTTTTAATCTTCTAAGGAAGTAAGACTATTTGACCTAATGTATTATTTCTGCCATGATTTACTTTATAACATATTACTGAGGAGCAGTTGGCATTTGTTTCTCATGTAATTTTTACATTAGGAAATTGTGAAAATCATTAGTCTCAAATTTTTTTTTTGATCTTTTGGAGTTTTACTTGCCTTTTGATACCTAGTATCCAGTATTTTGTCCAACATATGTCTAATATGGTACCTAAAATGAGTTTGAATAAAGCCATGATTTAAATGTCATAGTGGAGCTTGCTGTTTTAACAAATCTGTGTTGAAATATTTTGTAACATCATCATGTTTTGTAGTTTATAAGGATTTAGATTTTGGAAGGTCCTTAGAAGTCACCTAGTTTAGTTCTCTCATTTTATGGAGTTATCAGGCAGGGGGTCTGAGTCATTTGTCCAAAGTCACACAGATAATAAATAAAACCGGGGTTTTAATTTTGAGGTCCTTTGACTCCAAATTCAGTTTGTAGATCAAATTTTACAAAAGCAAGGTATTTTGATATGCCAACTTGCCTTCAACAGTGTTGTATTTAGACTTCTGTAAAAAACATTTAGGAATTGTATTATGATCTTAGAGTAATGCTTAAATGGGGAATAAGATAATTTTGTAAACTATAATTTAAAAAACTTACTTTTGAGAAATGAGAATTGTTTATATGTTAGAGGCTTAATTTTCTCTGTACTCTGTTGTTAGAATAGGGTCTTATATTATGGACAGAAAATTCTTGGCAGTTCAGAGTAGAGCAGGGCTTATAATTTGTCACTTTTTATGTAATCAAAATAACCCTTGATGCCGACAGCATGTGCTGCCTAGTTATATAGTCCCATTGTAGAAAGCCTGTTTTAACTTTTTTTTTTTCCTTCCCATTTTTAGCGGGGATCTGATGAGCTTCTTTCTTCTGGTATTACTAAGGGGCCTTTTACCATGAGCAATTCGACTCCAGCTACAGGTATAGTGAAAATTTGATTTTTTATTTATAAAGGTTTGGCTTTACGTGACAGTATATGTGGCAAATAGTCCATTTTGTCATTTTATTCCTGTGGTAAACATAGATGATATGCACAATGGGTCAAAGTAATATATTGCAGAATAGTCTGTTGTACATACAAATTTAAATTCTGAATTCTGTTTGGTCTAAAATCTAAGTCCTAAAAATAAGGCTCAGCCTTGACATATTGAGTCTTTTTTTCTCTGTAAATGTTTGTTGGAAACCTGAGGACTTGAACTTTAGGGCAGATTTCATTAACGCTAAAGTATTCAGTAAGTTAGCACACTTTATTGCTGTTATCAAAAATTCTTTGAAAAGGGTGTCCATTTCTAAAGTTTCATTCTCAGCCATATAATATGATTGCTTTTTTCTTTTGAAATACTTCATCTTTAAAATATGGTAGTTTAGATTAGAGCAGGGTTAGGCAAACTACTGCCCATGAGCCAATTCCAGCCCACTGTCTGTTTTTTGTGACCTGTGAACTAAGGATGGCTTTTACATTTTAAAATAAAGCCAGATTTGGCTTTCCAGCTGTAATTTGCTGACCCCAGGATTAGAGGAATTAAACTCTTTACAAAGCATTCTGTATGAAATATCCTAGAATTTTAGGGCAGAAAGCCACCTTTGGATTTTTCTAATCAAGCTCTTTCATTTTATAGCTGAGGAATTGATTCTCAGAAATACTGGTATACTCAAGGCCACACAGCTAATTTGCCTTTTGTTCTTAGTTTAATTAAAAATATAATATGTTAGGATGAGCTTTTTGAACTATTCATTTTAATATTGAAGGGAACTAATAGGGTTGGAATAATAACAGGGAAAAATAAGTCTTAACTTATTACATGTTTTATTTTTTCAGTAACATGAATGTCAGTTTTTCCATCTATTGAAATTAACCCTTTATTAAATAAGCATGTTACAAAAAACAACACTATGCTAATCACAGGCATTCAAAATCAGTTTTCAAGCATTTATTAAATGCATTCACTGTTGGTGCTAAATGCTGTGGATGCAGAGATAAAAGTGAAATAATTCCTATCCTGTATCTGCATGAAACATGAGTAGTAGGGAGGGGAAGGCACTAGTGATTGAGGTGTTAGGGGATGGAATCCAATCCCATTAGAGGTCTCCTGCAGAAAGTGGTGTTTGAAGGAAGCCAGGACTTCTAAGAGGTGGAGGTATGGTTGGAGAGCATTATAGGCAATATAGAAGCCAAGGAGGGAGGAGATGGTATGCTTAGTGTTAAAAGGAAAAAGTCCAAGATAGATAGTTTGTGGAGGGGAATAATATGTCAAAAAGCTGGAAAATAGAAAAGGCCAGGTTGTGAAGAGTCAATAAACATTTAAGCATCTGCTATGTGCTAGGTACTGTGCTGAACATCAGGGATCCAAAGAAAGGCATAAAACAGCCCCTATCCTCATGGAGGTCACAGTGTAATGGTGGGGGAAAGGGGCAAGGACAGCACATAAAAAGAACCTGAAAAGCTGGGGTGGGGAGGAGTTTGAAGGAGGGAGATATTTGGGTAGCATGGGGCTAATGAAGTTCTTCATCTAGGATGGGAAATCATCTAAGGAGGTAATAGAGTTGAATAGATCTTGGAGAAAAATAAATTTCTGATAATTATGCCGACTAGGAGGGCAGCTGGGTGGGAAATGATGAGGTCAATCCCTGAGTGTCTTCCTTGACCGGTCAAGGATATGGGAGGAGTTCTCCACTGTCCACCCTTCACTCTCTCCAATCAGAGGGAGGCAGGAGCCCCATGGGTGGTGAGGAGGTGTGAATTTCAGAGTTTGTTTCATCTTGCAGAATGATAAGTTTCTGACCATCAAATCTGGAAGTATGGCCAGGTGGTAAATGATGATAGAAGAATTCTAAATGCTAAGTTGGAGTTTATATTTGATCTGAAAATGAATAGGCAGCCATTGGAGTTTAATGAAGAGAAAGAGGAGGATAGTGTTGACTTGATCTGACTCACATGTAAGGAAAGTCACCTTTCACAGCAGTGTGGGAGATGGCTTGGAGTGGAGAGGCTTGGGGCAAAGAGACCAATTAGAAATGCAGTAGTATAGTCAAGAAGTGATGAGGACTTACTACTATAAATGCATTGGTTGCTATGTGAATGAAGAGATGGGGATGTATAGAGATGTAGAGGTAAAAATGACAAGATTAACAACTGGATCTGTGGGGTGAGACTGAAGAGTCAAGAATGACACTTGAGTTTGTGTGAAGCTGGGTGATTTGAAGGATGATAGTACCTTTGACAGTAATAGGGAAGCGTGTAAGAACAATGAGTTTGATTAGTAAAGATAATGAATTTTGTGAAATTTCCAATAGACAATTAGTGATTTAGGATTAGATGTATAGATTTGGGAGTAATCTGTATATAGAGGATTACTGAACCTATGGGGAGCTGAGGTGAGAGAGAATAGAGAGGAGGGAAAAGGCATGGAATACTTAGTGGGTGTGATGTGGCTCAATTGGTAAATATTGTGAATATATTAAATATAGGTTGGGTCTGTAAGGGAAGGTTTTATGGGGAAAATGTTACTATGGTTTTGCAGGATAAACAAGCTTTATTTAGTCAGGGAAGGGGAGAGATATTTTAGGTGGATGGAGCAGAGCAAAAGCATGGAGGCAGGGAATTGAGTAACCTTTTGGTTAGATTGGAGGGTTCCGGAAGATGGTTATTTGGTGGTAACATTCAGAAGATATTTTGGGCCAAATCATAGAGCACTTTGTATGCTTAGAAGAGTCTAAATTTTACCATGTAGCATTAGCTTGTTGCAAGTAATGATTTAAGAATTAGTCAGTAGATTAATTTTTTTGTTGTTATTATTATTATTCCCTTGCTCCTATCCTTAACCTCTGGCAAAGAAAGTGTACTCTAGTACCTTTTTAACCTTGAAAATTTTTTTTTAGTCAGTCAAAATATGCCTTCTCACCACCACTCCTCCATTAACCCCAATTGAGAACACAGGAAAACAAAATGCATTACGAACATTTCAAAACAAATTTCTAAATTGGCCTTGTCCAAAAAACACACCTGTCTTGTTCGGCATTCTTCATCCTTCACCTCTGTCAGGACATTGTTTCATCATTAGTCCTGGAATCCTGATTGGACATTATATACTGATAAGAGTTCAGTGGTATTCTATCACATTTATGCGCTATAACTTGTTTATCCATTTCCCAATTTATGAGCATATCCTTAGATTCCCATTCTTTGCCACCTCAAAAAAAAAAGGTATAAATATTTTTATACATCTTTAGAGTTTGTTTTACTTAGGGCTAATCCTTCCCTTAATCTGCCCTCTCTGTAATTCCTCTTCCCCCCTTCCCCCCTTCCCCTCTTGTTTGCTTGTTGAATGAGATGTATTTCTGTACCCGATTCTGTGTGTGTTCTTTTTTTTCTTTTGACCAGTTCACATGAGAGTGAAGTTTGAGCATCATTTGTTCCTTTTCTCCCTTCACCCTTCCTCCTTGTTTGTATTGATGTCTTTTTTGTTCACCCTCCTATTCCCCTCTCTTTCCATTCTTTTCTTAAGCTCACTAAGATATAACAAAACCACTCTCAGACTTTGACTAATTGGATTCACTCTATGAACCCCGAGGATGACATAGTTCTGAAGGGATACATACATCATCTCCCTATTATTTCAATTTAAGCAGTTTATTTTTGTTTAGTTCTTTATCATTGTCCTTTCATATTGATCTTTTTATGTTTCTCTTTCTTCCTGTGTTTGATCTTCAAAGTTTTTAGTCTTTTCATCAGGAATGCTTGGAAGGCCTTTATTTCATTAAAGGTCCATTTCCCCCCCCCCCCGTAGCATATTATACTCAGTTTTGCTGGGCAACTTATTCTTGGCTGTATATCCATATCCTTTGTCTTCTAGAATTTCGTATCTAAGTTTTACTTTCCTTTATAGTGCTGGCTGCTGAATCATGTATGATCCTGACTGTGGCTCCTCAGTACTTGAATTCTTTCTCTCAGACTGTTTACAGAATTTTTTCTTTGTCCTTGGAAGCTCTGGGTTTTGGCTGTGATATTCCTTAGAGTTATCATTTTGGATTTTCTCTTAGGAAGTGACTAGTGAATGTTTCCTGTTTTCCATTTTACCTTCTGATTCCAAGACAGCTGGGCAGTTTTCTTTTAAGATGTCTTGAATTAGGATGTCTAGGTTCTTTTTTTTTTTTTTTTTGGTCATGGTGCTCAGATAGTCCAATGATTTTTAATTTATTTCTCCTTGATCTGTTTTCTAGTCCATTGTCTTTGCTATGAGATATGTTACATTTTTTTATATGTTTTCAGCCATTTGACTGTTGTAATATTTCTTGTTGCCTCATGAAGGCATTGTCTTCTATTCTAATATCCAGTGGACATGTGCCCATTCTAATTTTCAGGGAGTTTGTTGCTTGGACAAAGTTTTAAACTTATTGTGCCAAGCTGTTAATTCACTTTCCAATTCTTTCTTTCATAACTCTTATTTTCCTTTCCAATTTTTTCTTCCAGTGCTCTCATTCCATTTATGACATCATTTTAAACTTTTTTTTTTTAAACTCTCGGGGCAGCTAGGTGGCGCAGTGGATGGAGCACTGGCCCTGGAGTCGGGAGGATCTGAGTTCAAATGTGTCCTCAGACACTTGATAACTTACTAGCTGTGTGACCCTGGGCAAGTCACTTAACTCTGATTGCCTCGCCAAAAAGCAAAAACAAACAAAAAAACCCCTAAAAAACTGTTGCTTCATCTCTTCCAGGAATTCTAGTTGGAATTTGTAGCCATCCTGTGTTTTTCTCTGAGACAGTGCTTGTAGATGTTTTATAGTCCTTCTTTTCTGTGTTTGTGTCTTGAACATTCTTGCCATCATTGTAGCTCATTATGATGGGGTTCTTTTTTTGTTTTCCAATTCTTCTAGCCTATTTCCTGACTTCAGACTTGATGTTAGGGCTGGGCTCTGTCCCA